TGTTATAGCGCGACTGTTGAAGTTGAGTGTATCATACTTATTCGGAAAGAATAAACCAGTTTTATTTAAGAAAGAACTTGTGTCATTAAAGTTTTGTCGGAACGAAGTTACGAAAATTAACTAATGAACAGAGACGTAACAAATTGGTGTCAAAGAGTGGGATAAAAAAATGGAAACGAGAAGCGGCAAATCAAACTACAGCCTAGCAGACTTAATGGCAGCAATACAAGAACAGCAAAAGAAACAAGAAGAGAGACAACAGCAGTTGCAAGAAAACCTGCAACAGTGGTAGCTCGAACAACAAAATAAACAAGAAGAGAGAGATTACAACAGTTGTTGGAGGAAAAAGAAAAGAAACAAGAAGAACAAGAAAAGAAAGATCACAGAAGTGGCAAGAAAACCTACAACAATGGCAGCTTGAACAGCAAAATAAACAAGAGAGACTGCAGCAGTGGTTGGAAGAGAAAGAAAATAAACAAGAAGAGAGACTACAGCAGTGGTTGGAGGAGAAAGAAAATAAACAAGAAGAGAAGTTACAGCAGTTGTTAGAAGAGAAAGAAAATAAGAAGAGAGACTACAGCAGTGGCAACTGGAACAAGAAAGGAACCAAGAAGTACAAATGGAAAACATTAGTAAAGTTAAAAGTGAATTAGATACATTGAAGGGTGATCTATTCTTATTTACACAAGGAGGATACATTAACCATCGACTTAATCAGCCCCAGACAACGGCAAGCCCCTTCCAGACCCCGCAGCTAAACCCTAATGCAGACATCTTCAGTCCTGTTAGAAGTCACATCCCAGATATGAATGTCAGTAATAGGAGTGATTCAGTAAGAAGGAAGCCACAGGAATACGATGTGAATGCACCGTGGGAAGCATATAGAGCACAGTTTGAGCTACTGGCAGAGTTGAATGGATGGACAGAGGAGCAGAAAGCAGTATATCTGGCAACGAGCTTGACGGGACAACCACTGGAAATACTTGGAGAGTTGTCAGCAGACGACACACACAACTATAGAGCACTGGTAGCGGCTCTAGAACTCAGGTACAGAACCCAAAATCAGGGCTAGGTTTAGGACGAGAGTCCGTGCTAAATAGGAGAGCCTGCAAGAGGTTGCACAGGACTTGGAAAGCATGGCACACAAGGCCTACCCAACTGCACCACCCGATCTCCTCAAGTTGTTGCTGAGGGATCAGTTCGTAGATGCCTTGGACAGTCCACAACTTAAGATACAAGTGAAGCAAACACACCCCTCTACCATGCAGGATGCAATAGCCAGAGCTCTCGAATTTGAATCCTACGGTAAGTCCAGCACAGAGGTATCAAGGTTGGTACAGTCATCTGGATTCAAGGCCAGAAAAGGGCAGCTTTCAGAGAAGTTTGAGGGGCTTTGCTGGCACTGTAACAAACCTGGGCACAAGAGAGCTCAATGCTGGAAACTTCAACACAGGGGAGATGATACAACAGGAAAGGCTGCTACCCTGAAAGGCTGATGGAACTGTGGGGAGCAAGGACATCTGAGGAGCCAGTGTAGGAAGAATATCACCAACAAGTCAGCCTCAAGGAGACCAGTAGTGGTTGGTGTTGAGGGACACTCACCAACCCCATCATGAAAGTCCCTACAGCTAGGTGTAAAATGCCAAGCACACACAGCGTTTATGTGACATGAAAGCTGGATGGCCAAAGGTGCAACTTTGTCAGAGACTATGCGTCTCAGCAAATCCTTGTGAGTATCAAGGTGTTAGATCATGAAGGAGTACCAGAAGCCATACAGAAGCTTTATGGTGTGACAGGACATTCTACAAGGTTGTGGGGACCAGTGTGGGTAACTATAGAGCTCATGGGCATGAATGACAGACATAAAGTATACTTGGCTGACATTGAAGACCAATGCATATTAGGGTTGGACTACTTACTACCGAGGAAGTTTGTAATTAGTTTTGATAAAATGACATTTGGGAACAACAAAGGCC